ATGGGGTGTCAGTTTCATGCCAAGAATGACTTTTCATAAGAACCTCAATGATAAACATAAACTAAATGTGGGCTTTCCCTGGCAGTAAGAGGAATTTATACCTTAACTCTTATAAGCACCTGGAAATATTTTAGAGTGCTGATACATATTGAAGAGGGGGAGGCAGGAAGCAGGGAGGGAGGGAGGGAAGGAAGGAGAGAGAGAGAGAGAGAGAGAGAGAGAGAGAGAGAGAGAGAGACAGACAGACAGAGAGACAGAGAGAGACAGAGACAGAGACAGAGACAGAGAGACAGAGAGAAAGAGAGAAACTTTAGACATTGTTTAACAATAGTAAAGTTTAGTGACAAGAATACTTGTACCTAAGTGTTACATTATTTTTATTTTGCGCCTTATTCTGATTTGTCTTTGATGTCATGTGTTGAAATTAGAATAATCAAAATCTGTTTTTTATTCTTTTTTGTAAGAGAATCATCAGTGAGGAGACCTTGTAATATTCAGCTGACATGCCTAAGAGTGGAAGCAAACTCAATGTTCCTAGGAATCACCTTCCATAGGGAATGCCTTGTAATCCCAAATCCCTCAAATAGTTTGACATGCTATAATGATAAATAACAAAATGATAAACAAGTTGAAAAAAGCCTTAAGAAAAATCTTCATAAAATGTTAACTGTGTCACCTGTCTACTTCTCACCAGCCCCTGAAGATGCTTTCCTATTTTCATTTGATCATATATTTAGAACTGAAAGGAACCCAAGGGGCCACTGAGTCCTACACCCTCATTTTACGGATGAGAAACCTAAGGTACAGAGAATTTCAGTGACTTGCCCAGATCACAAAACTAGTAAGTCTCTTAAACAAAATTCAAACTCCAGATCTTCTGGCCTCCAAGTCCAGCACTAACCTGTCCCATTTGGGTTCAGGGCTTTAAACATTTAACTGGGAGACTAAGTTGGCCTTTCTTCTCCAGCTTTCCACTCCCTTTCCACATCTATTATTAATCCTTCAAATCTGAGCTTGAACAGGAAGTATATTCCTCTTTGGAACTTGTAGGAGGTCAGAGAGGTGGCTCTCCAAGGGGCTGCCTTTTCCCTAGAAAGACTGATTTTAAAGAAGGCTCAGTACGCTCACCTTTGGTGAGAGAGGAGAATTGCTGGAAATAGAATGAGAGAAGTTTCTGTAAATTTCTGGTAACCATAGAGACAGAGATTTCAATTTATCTATCTCACCTACTTAAGGAGGTATTGGTCACAGGGAGATTCTTCTAAAATGAGCTGTACTGGCTACCCTTTGACCTCCTTATGAGGGACCAGGAGGGTCACTGCATTTACCTTGGGCATTTTACCCACAAGTAAAACTTTCACATTATTGTTAGTTTCACCATGACTGTATTCTCTTTTTGGAGAAAGACAATTCAGCACAGTATTGTCCCTTTTGTGGAATAGGGCATTAGGAGTGTTGACTAACTTCTAACTGCTAGGATACCATGACTTTTGACTTCCAGGGTCTAATGACTTTTGACATAGGCCCAAATGAAAAAATAAGACGGTTGAAAAAGTCTCCAGGAGCCCCTTATGGGCAAGGTCACCTGCCAGGAAGGAGGCTGCCTGGTGGTCTATCTCTTCTGTCATGTGGTACATAAATGGTTGCCTAGGTATGCTCAGAGTAGAATGTCTGAGGCCATTGGTCAGAGAGTAACTTGATTGGGCAATAGACCCATGAAGGTCCTCGGCCTGGCAGGACAACTATGGAGGGGCCCCGACCCCATTACTCACTCCCACTTGGAGGAAGCCTGCTATTCTTGCAGTCTTTTCCTGCGCAATAGACACAACGCCTTGGTTTCTCTGTCTTAATGGGACCTGGTGACATTCCCGCTCTGTCGGGCTGCTTTTCAGAGCTGCTTGGCTCTGCTGAACAGGATGGGACAGGAAGAATACACACGACCACAGCTACCACGTGGTCCCTCTGTAGCACCTACCCTGGGGTCAGGAAAGGACTCTGGATTGATAGGGGTCAAGCTAAAGATTCATAGTGTGATTTGATCCCACACTTCTTCTGGGAGAAGGGAGGGAAGGGTAACAGAAGAACTTCAGCACACAGAGGGAGGTCTGGTGTATGGAAAATATGGGCCAGTACCAGGCAGTGGGTGAGCCATCTGATTAGCCAGAGACTGGAGATAGTGTCAGAGGCAGAAGCGAATTCCCATCATTCCAGTGCAGTGTGGATGAAGGGAGAAGCCTGGCTTTCACACTATTAGGGTTCAGGGCCCTCTGACAATGAAAGGCTGAAGTTGACAGTAAGCATGAACGTAATTTCGTCACACACAAAAGCTTCATGGATATTTGTGAATTCTAAACCCAGCGTGTGCCAACCAACCTGTTCCTTCAACTCACCAAAACCCTCGTCAGCTGAGAAACTGTTCTCATCACAGCTTGTGTGACCATCCTTCACAGAATCTATGGAGAGGTATGTTTGTTCACATGGCTGTCAGAGCACCCCTTGTACTGTTTCTGCCTTCATTAACCCCCTTGGAACGTAAAGGGCAGTAGACTTTTAATGCCTTCTCTTCTCCAGGCTAGTGATCCCCATTCTTTGAATGGCATAACTTTGAGGCTATACAGTCTTGGTTACCTTCCTCCAAATGTGCTCCATCTTATGAATAAACCTATCAATGTGCTTCCTAAAAGGTGGTACCGAAGTCTAAACACTGAGGCTCCAGATGTGGCCTAGCCAGGACAGGTCACAGTGGGACTATTGCTTCCCCCATTCTGGACACAGGACAGCTGAGTGGGTGCAGTGGATAGAACACTGGACCTGGAGTCAAGAAGATCTGAGTTCGAACCCAGACTCAAGCACTTACTGGCGGTGTAGTCCTGGGCAAGTGACTTAACCTGTCTTTGCCTCAGTTTCTCATCTGTAAAATGGGGACACACTGGAGAAGGAAATGCAAGCCACTCCAATATCTCTGTCAAGAAAACCCCATGGACATAGTCCGTGGGCTCATGAAGAATTGGATACAACTGAATGACTGAAAAACAACAACTAATTCTGGACACTGTGTTTCTATGAAGGCAACTGAATATTGAGCTAGCTTTTTTTTTTTTTTGCTTTATTTTATCCTTCACACTACGCCATTGAGTTTCTAATTGAATAAAATTCCCATTTTCATAGGAGCTGTTGTCCAGCCATACCTTACTCAATCCTTGCTTTTTAAAAAATCTCATGATACTTTTCAATTTTATTCAGATCAAATTTTATTTTATTGGATTTGGACCATCTTGTTGGAATGATTTTTATCCTGATTTTGGCCTTCAACGTGTTAGCCACCCCATCCATTTATCTCTCAGTTATCTGAAAAGATGGCATATGCCAACTATGTCTTCATCTAAATCATTGAGAAAAAATATTGAACAGCATGACACCAACAACAGATCTTTGAGGACACTTCACTAGTGTTTGGCATCTTCCTGTCAGGCCTCAGTTTCCCTCTCTATAAAATGAGCAGCTCGAGTTGGATGATAACTAGGCAGTATATTGTAGTGGAAATATCCCTCTTATGGGAGACAGGAGACATGGATTATAGTCCTGGATCTGCCAATAATTAGTATGGCTTTGGGGCCATCCATTCCTCTCTTTTGGCTTCAGTTTCTACCTCAGTACAGGACCTTCCTGCTCTAACATTTGATGGTTCTGTGATACTGATTCTAGCTTCCTGCCAGCAGCTGAGTGTGGACAGACCCCCTACTGGGACGTGGTGGACAGTGGCTTGAGATAGAGGCGTTTCTGTGATCTGCAGGATAGCCCTGCTGTTCTTAGGGAAGTATTATAGATTGGTTGTGTCAAACTCAAACAGAAACATACATCAACCATACATACGCAGGCTAAGTATTGACTTTAACAATCATATATCATATCATTATGTTTTTATATATTTTGTTAAATATTCCCCAATTACATTTTAATTTGGTTCAGGCCAAACGAGGGAGTGTTGTGGGCTGCATAGGCCTCATGTTTGACAACTCTGCCATAGATAACAGTGAATAGAAGTGGGCCATGAACTGTGCAGGATTTGGATGGGTCTCAGAGGCTGATTGGTTTACATCAGTAGTTTTTTATGCTGTACTCTGAAGGCCCTTCCTGAATCCCCATGGGGCTTGGTTACCATTTTGTAGAAACCAGCGTTTTTCACTGGGGATGTCCTGTCAGTGTCAGAAGGAATCACTGCAAGAAGCCTGTTTGAAGATACAAGTTGTTGACTTAGCTGGCTTTAATAGGCTGTGAATTGGTTTCAATTCTGAGCTTATTGGACTTTCCAACTAAGAGCAGAGGGTCGTGTGGTCCTGAAAGATGATAAATGAATGAATGAATGAAAAAGCAGTTTTAGTTACTTCCTATATGTCAACCACTGTGATAAGTGCTTGGGGATATACATACAAAAGTGAGCTAGTCTTTGCCCTCAAAGAAAGAAAGAAAGAATATAGCCAGATCCCATGCTAAGTGCTTTTGACAAATATTATCTCATAAACTCAAGGAGCTGACATTCTAATAAGGAGAGAGCCGCATCAGGGAGTGACGGCCAAGGAAGAGTATTTTGTTTTGGGGACTCACAGAAATGACAAGTGGAACAGGAGGGCAGCCCATTGACACGTCCTTTCCGGAGGCAGTGTTAGTGCTGGTTGATCGCAGTTGTCAGAGCAAAGCATGGAAAGAGTATGGAGATGTGTTCTGTGTCAGGGAGGAAAATACTTGAGGGGAAGTAGAGTCTGTGTGGCTCTAGGGAGTGAAGAGCTGGTTGGCTTAGCTCTTGCTCCACCCAGGCACGGCTTCTGGTGGTCTAACTTGGAGGGCCAACAGCATTGTCAGATGTGTCTGGCACAGCGAGCAGTGATGGTGTTTCCGGTATTTATGTAGCGCCTCTTTGGCAGGGTAACGAGGGTGAGGGATACAGTTGGCTGGGTTGGCTGACTCGCAGAATTAAGTCTCCGCCTGTTTTCTGTCTCCAGGTGCCGGAATCTCTCCTTTCCTGATAGCCTCCCAGAGGTTAGCATCGTTTTTATCTTTGTTAATGAGGCTCTCTCTGTGATCCTGAGATCCATTCACTCTGCTATTGACCGGACTCCTCCTCACCTGCTCAAGGAGATCATTCTGGTGGATGATAACAGCAGTAATGGTACGTTCCTTCTCACCTTAAGCTACACATCACAGGTTCTATGTTGCTGCCTTTGAGAAAACTCATTCATTTAACAAACGCTAAACAAAAAAAGTCCCTGATTTGTCAGTGGTATGCTGTGCTAGACAATAGGAAAACAAAGAAACAATCTCCTGCCTTCAAGGGTACTACCTTCTGTTGGGGGGAGAGGTAATATGAGCACGGATAAGCAAATAAAAAATAGGCATATGTATACATGTACGTATGTGTACGCCTATGTCTGTGTACATGTATGGCCATGTATGTGTATGTACGTGTATGTATATATGCATTGTACATATGTATATGTGTACTTATGTGTCTCTGTGTGTGTACGTGTATGCATATATGTGTGTCTATGTCTGTGTCTGTGTACATGTATATATATATGTGTGTAGCTCCTCCAGAGCTACTTCTTAGATCCCACTCACTTTGGCAAGTAAGGACCCCAGAGGGAAGCTAAATTCTTCTCCCCTTGGAGTGCTAGGGTTAACCCTGAGGGGTTGGGTGTTTTCTCATACTCCTCCTCATGAGCTCCTTCCTACCACTATACTCTCCATTGATTATCCAGTTGATATCATTTAGCCAGCCAGCGTTAATTAGCTTTTTTAAGGGGGGGGGCATTTACTGAGATGGTATAGTAAGAATCATGGGTACAATACATTCCCTCCAAAAGTCTGAGACTCACTCCTCCATATGTACATATCAGATCCAGAGGAAAGTGGGCATGGGATTAGAGAACATGGAGGTGGACTTCTTTTCGCCTTTCCTCTAGTTCTCATGAAGTTCCACTAAAATCTATAGCTCCCTGCTGGGCCATGAAGGTCAGGGCCCTTGTAGAATCCTGAAGATGTCACCTTCCTTGAAGCTGCCTTTCTTTGAAACTGGTTACTGGTCTAGCTTCTCTGATGGCATGGTGAATGGGGACACAGGAGGGGTGATCCTCCCTCTGGTGGGAATGCATTCCAAGCATGGGGTATATGCCGTGCAAAGTTGTAAAATGAGCTATAGAAAGGGAACGGCTAATAGGCTAGTCTGGCTGAAACCCAGAATGCATGAGTGGGAATACTCTGCAATATGCTTGGAATGTCATTGACTTCACCTTCACAGCTGTGTTCCTTTTCAGGGAACTCACATAAGACAGGGAAATCTTGTGATTGACCCTTTTCTGAAAAGTTCACTGCCTCAGACTTCTCTCCACTGAGGCCTCTTTCCAAAGTATCAGTGACTTGGAACTTTCCCACCTGCTGCCTGACTGCATCAGTAGAGGAGCCTGGGGCCTCTGGCATATTTGCAGCCAAGGAAAATTAAAAATGGCCATCCCTGAAATTGTAATCGTAGCCATACTCACAGATCAGGCCCTGCCCTTATCAACAATTGGGCCATCATTATCTCAATCAACATAAGGAATGCCTCAGTGATGGTTATTCCCGTTAACCCCTTCTTACTTTTTCTAGAGGGTCTCTGAAGAGCATTGTCTCTCTGGGTGAATACCATGCTGGACTATGTCTAGGAGCCAGCTTTGCTGACATTTGGAACATTTCGGCTGATCTTAGAGCGTGTGTATGTGTCCACATGTATGCTTCCTTTTGAGTTAGTGCTTCCAACACTGATACAGAAGAAGCAGGTCTTATCTTCTGTGACCACAAAAGAGCAAAAGATCCCTGATTCTGTGATGGGTACCCTACTCACCTGGGTATGTCTCTGGGTATTAGGAGATAATGGTGGCTATTTAGAGCTTGTCAGGTGAATTGGCATGTTAAACGGTAACTAGTTCAGGCCTTATCTACCTAAATATGTAGCTGGGAGCGTGGCTCGCAGGCCTCCTGTTTTCTAGGAAGGGAGGGCTTCCAGGGAGGATCTTGTGAGTCTTGTTAACTAAGAGAAGCTGTGTTTTGTGGCTAGCCTTTGTGTGCACACTGAGTGATGGTCTGTGGTGTCTGGCAAACCTTCCTGTATGCCTGCAGGTCCCAGATCAACTTTTGGAGGCCTCATTTAATCCCGCTGTGACCTCTTCTGCCCCACTCCTGAGGAAAAAAACCTGTATGGCCACATGGTCTTTCAAACTGAGTACAGGATGTTGATGAACCATCTCTCCATCCTCTGATGCTGTGGTTTCCCAATGTTACCATGCTGGTTTGATGTCAGAATCCTGCCTGTAAACTGGTTCTTTAGTAGTTTGGAACACAGACAATCTGAATGAGAAATGTTCTGTCTGCATCTGTGAATGGTGCCTTTGAAAGCTCTGACTTTAATTAATCCTACAAAAAGTGTTTTTTAATGTGTGCCTGTACCAAAAAATAAAAAAAAAACCACACTCAGGGCCAACAGGAACTACGGGCTGGGGTCAACATTTCTCTAAAGCAAACACTTTGAAACTCTGAGGGCAAAACCTAGTGAAAAATCCTGCCTCTGTCTGTATGGATGCCCCTTGAACAGGGTTTCCTTTGTCATGGAAGATGTTCTGTCTTGGGCTCACACTGTAATTGGGCCTCTCCTCTCTCTAGATTCTCTGTTCATTTCCATTAGCTAATTCCTCAGTATGATGCATTTGCTAGCAAAAATCAGAGCTTAAATGGGTTGTTTGTGTTTTGCTGGAGGTTAAAAGCTCCGCGTAATAGACATGTATTTAATTTGATCCAAATAGACAACCCGGCTTTTATTTTTGGCTTGATTATTCTTCAGTGATAGATGTGGGGAGAATATTTGGTGCTTTCTGAAGGGCATCAGCCATGTATTGAATTACAACTGGTGATTCTAATGGGGCAGCAGGAAGAGTTCTGGTCTTGGAATCCAAAGATCTGTGTTTGAATTCTGCTTCTGACACCATCTAGTTAGGAAGGCTTGGATATGGCATAACATAGCGGCTAGAGCTTTGGGCTTAGAGTCAGGAAGATGCTTCTCAAACCCCACCTCAGATGATTACTATTTGTGTGAGACCTTGGGCAAATTATTAACACCTCTAAGCCTTAGCTCCTCATCTGTACAAATGGGTATAGTAATAGTAACTATCACAACCCTAACAAAGCGTTTTTATGAGTTCAAAATGAGATAATATTTATAAAATACTTTATAAGCCTTCAAGTGCCATATAAATGTGAGCAATTAGTGCTATTATTATTGCACATTAACTATTGCTATTATTATAAATGTTGATTATTACTTTTATTGAAAATATTGAGTTTTACCATTATTTGCACATATTGACTATTGCTATTATTACAAGTATTAATTATTGCTATTACTGCATAACTTAATTATTGATATTATTGCAAATATTAATAGAGTAAGCATGGTATAGGGGATGGAACTGGCCCCAAGGGGTTCAAGCACTACCACTGACACATACTGGCCATGTGACCATGAGCACATCACGTAACATCTCAATGCTCTAGGCAACTTTCTAAGACTACGAAGTTCAGAGAAGATACCAAAATGCATTGGTAGAGGGAAATTCCTCACTTGGGAAATCCAAGTCCAGTCCTCATTATTATTATTATTATTATTATTATTATTATTATTATTATTATTATTATTATTATTATTAATTAGTATTATATAAAATGGTGATCACACCATTTGCAATGTCTGTGACACATAGAGGAAATTTCCTCACATGGGATTTTCTATACTAAATATATCACAGGTCCAGTCCTTATTCCTATTATTATTGATGATGATAAAAAATGGGGATTATACCACTTTCAATGTCTGTGACATAGGGTTGTTGTCAGGATCAAATGAGATAAGCTATACAAAGGGTTATATAATTTTAAAAAATGTTGTGTATGTGTGAGGTGTCATTTGTTAAATGAGGGAAAGAAAAAACAACTCTTCATCAAGGCTAGCAATAAAAAGGCATCTATATTTATTTTACTTGTTATTGTTACTTTCAAATCTGGTAGAATTCTGTACAACTTGTCTTGCCAGGCCAAGACCCCTGTGGCCTGTGGAAAGATGGAGGCATCTTGGCTTTGGGCCTTGAGCCAGAGAAGCGTCCATGAAGGGCTACTGGTGTTAGGGCAGATACTTTATATCGTGTGTGGTGTATCCAAATATGTTAGTAGCTGGTGCCCCAAGTGAGTGGAACTTGGGGAAAAACCTGGAGATATCATGAGATTAGTTGGACCCCTTTCTAGATTCCAGTGCCTAAAACTGCTCAGGCTGCCATGAGGTCAGATGACTTGGGGCAGTAATCATGCCTGCTCTTCAGGACTCTTACATACCAAACATGAATGGGGCTTGCAGCTGCAGCACAATGCTTGAGGTAGATTTCTTAAAATGTTATTTTTAGTTTTACTAATGCCTTTTGCTTTTAGATCACAGTTATTTCCCAATATAGCCATCTCCCCACCCCTTGACACACCTCCCTGGAACTGAGCCTTCGCTTGCGGCGAAGAAAGAGCCTTAAATAAAACCAACCACCATCACATCTGGCAGAGTAAGCACCATCCCACCGCCATATTTCCCCACCTCTCCAACAAAAATCAATTAGTCAACAAGCACTTTGTTCAGCACTTACTGTGTGCCAGGCACTGTGTGAAGTGCTGAGAAGGAAGTGCATTTCCTCTTTGAGACAGATTTATTTATCTAGAAAAAAACCCTGTTGATTTCATTAGAATAGAGAATTCCTAGGTCAGAAAAATCCCTCTACCAATACAAGTCAGCATCTACTCTGTAACTTACAGAGTTTAAGTGAATTGCCCAGGGTCCCAGAGAGCAGAGATTAGGTTTGACCCCCAATCCAGCGTTTGGACCACCATACCTCTCTCTTCATACTGTTACGCTCAGAAAGCTAATAGATTCACTCCACACAGCCCAAGGATCAGACAAGTAGGTGCTATGCATATGGCACCCTAATTTGGTTCCGTCAGGAAACTGGAACAGGATGGGAAGCCATCTATGTTTATTCCTATGGATCAGGTAGCTTAGAGGCTGACCTTCTGATGGTGATGGCAATCAGAGAGGCTGCCTGCTATCCC